CTCAAAATTTTCCTCATAAATACTTAAATAAAACCATCAAATCCAAAGATATAAATTATTTAAAAAGTGCAGACACCTTAACCAACGACATTGCCACATTTCTGTGCGAAAATACTATGAATTTGCACCGAATGAGGCGGTATATTTAATTGCTAAATCAAATTATTGAGTTATGTTCGATTTGTGTTTGTGTGAGTTTGTGGATTTCACGAATAAATCAAATGCTAAATTCAGTTAACTTTACTTTAATAAGTTAAATAAATGAGATCAAATTAATGGAAGGTCAACTTATGTTAATTCGTGAATTTTGAAGTTATATCCTCTTTTTTAAATGATAATAAACTTTTGAATATTAGCTAGGCTACATAAAACTTTGGAAAGTTGTTAATATAGTATTCTGTAAATAGGCATATCTACAAATTCTAGGGGACTAATTTTAAGTCCAAAGTTATACTTCAATTTTAATATAATGGCATAAAAATTGATTTTTGTAAATGACATATACCTATATAAAAATTACCTATTAGAAATTATTTACTTATTAACAGTGAATAGTATTGTTCAATATTAACTTATCATGAATTGTATACTTTTGAAAAACTCTCTCTCAACAATTATTTACTTATTAATTCTCTTATTTGTGTCTGGTGGACTAAACACAAATTGTCCTTAAATTCTATGACCACCCACTCAAAAAAATACAAGAGAATATATCCTATGAATTATTTTTTTCCCATTTCTTCCATTTCTTATCACATCTTACATTAGTTTATTTATAAAAACTTTATCTTCATACAATTGAACAATAAATCTTATATTTTGTAATTAGGTAATAATATTATACTTTTCAGAGTATAAATACATATATGTATGATTTTATATTAAAAGTAGATATGACAAAGATGTACTTGTATCCTAAAAAAAATTGAAATATATTGTGTCATTATATTCCCACATCAATAGTTTATTGAAATTAGGTTTGTGTCCCTTGTTTGGGAATCAATTGCCATGTCATGTCCACTTCTCGCGATGTGGATGGCTTACCAATCTAATTTATTTTAGCCAATCATGCCGAAATTTTTCTGAATTTTTCAACGTGTACAAGGCTTTTCATACCGTATAAAAGTGAAATGAATGTGTAATAAAAAAAAGAAAAAAAAAACATATTTAGTTTTATGATATTTATAATTTAAATTTATTGGATTTCATTTTTATTTTAACACATACTGATCATAAATTAAGAAGAATCAACCTTATATATGAGCGCAGACCCATGAGGTTTTTAACCATTCGATCACACTTATCTGCGCAAATATAGTGTATGTGATAAAATGGTTAAAACACGGAAAATGCTACTTCCCCTGCCATGTACTCACTCCCTCGCTTACTCCCTGATATTTAGCCCGTAATAATGCAAAAGATGTGTTAATTTTAAGCATATAATTAATAAATCAAAAATAAAGATAATAATATAAATATTTTAAAAAATTCATGAGTGAACCTAAATTATTATCTTTATTTAACTCCCCACACCTGACCACCTAAAAATTAAAAAAAAAATACTAAAATAAAAAAAGATGTAAAAAAACAGAAATAAAACGAAAAATAAATCTCAACATTGTGTTTTTAGAAAATTCATGAGTGAACCTAAATTATTATCCCTGATATTTATATTATTATCTTTATTTTTGCTTTATTAATTATATACTTAAAATTAACACATCTTTGTACTGCCTAAATATCAGGGAGTAGGCAAGGGAGTGAGTACATGGCGGGGGAAGGAGCATTTTTCTTAAAACACCCATGAAGACTGTACCTACTAAATAAGGTAATTAAAGATACCTCGAATATCGAATATGAAATAAGGAAACAAATATTATAACCTAAAATAGTACCTATTTCACTTGGCCATTCTAAATTTCTTCATTGGAGACACTAGTCATACATTACTATTTTATGAAGTTACACATATTATCCAACTCTATATAACAAATCCAAATAGAAATCAAGGTGCAACTCTATTTAGTCAACTAACAAATTACACAATTTCATGAAGTAATTTACTCTATTATATTCCAACAAACAAATGGAACATCATAAAGCCAATTAGCCAAACCCCACCAAAAATTTAACCTAAAATTTCTTTGGCTCCATGGAATTTGTCTAATCTAATCTTTATTTACGTTACGCTAACATAACCATTAGATCGACATACTTTTTCACATACATATTTTTATTAGAAAATATCATATTGTTAAGAAATAAAAACAACAATATGACATTTAAATAATATAAGCATATATATTCATTTATATATATATAAAACGCCGGATCGACTTACCTAAATATTAAATTGCTCCACCCAAAAGAATTTGTAATTAATCTTTATACTTATCGTGTCGCTTTATTGTGTGTCCTCATATACATCATAGAGTTTGGTAATTGGGACAATAATATGATGTGAAGAGTAACAAAAAATATTAAATATGGGCAAGACTTCATATAGTATGAAAACCAAGTTTCAAGTCATTATCTAAAACAAAATTGACCGGCGCTTTAGCGGAAAATGTGATTTGAAAAAATGGGCCTCCACGAGATTAAGAATTTAATATTAATGTTAATAGTTCTGATTTTGACATGAATTATTAATATTATAACTGTTGAATCCAATTTTGTTCATAAATTCCGACATGATTGGTAATTAAGCAATATATATAGTCAAAACTGCCAAATAGACTACCAAAGTCTACAACACGAGGTCCACAATTATGTACTGGTTTAGTAAGACGTTTTCATGTCATATCAATATCATTATTGTTATTATTATATTATTATTTTTTAAAGAATTAGAAAAAAAAAAAGATAAAAGAAAAAGAATGGAATGGAAGCCTGCTTTTGAATTATCCATATCAAAGACAGGTTCCGATCCTGTGACTTCTAGGTTATGGTCCCACCACGCTTCCGCTGCACCACCACTAGTAGAAAAAACATATTTTATAACAGGGTTTTTATAACGGTTTTGTTAAGCCTGTTATAATAATTAAGACGGTGGCATTTTTGTAATAATCATCTTACTTTTATCTCGGGGATCTAGGAAATTAATTATACACGTTATAAATTTTTCAAATTCTCAATTATGTATAATGGGTATTTAAAAAGCTGTTGTAGATTATCAATTATGTATAACAGGTATTTACACAACCGTTATACAATTTATCAGATTTATCAAAACTTCTCCACAAACCCGTCTCTCTCTCGCCCAAAATCGCCTCCCCCTCTCTATCTCGCTCAAAATCACCTCCGTCTCTCTCGCCCAAAATCGCAATCGTCCGTCACCGTTCGCACAAAACTCAGTAGCCGTCGCCGTTCATACCAGGCCCTCGTCGCCGTTCGTACGCTGCCCTATTCGCACGGTGCCCGTCCCCCGCAGCCCTCGCCGTCCGCCGCACTGAGCCCTCCCCGTCCGGTGGTCTCGTTCGTACCAGGCCTTGTTCGCACGCCGCTCGTCCTCCGTAGCCCTCTCCGTCCGCTGCACTGAGCCCTCGCCGTCCGGTGGTCGCGTTGGCTTGGTACCTGGCCCTGTTCGTACGCCGCTCGTCCCCCGCAGCCGTCGACATCAGTTTTCGTGGACCTAAAGTTTTAAGGGTCTCATGTTCCGATAATAGTTCAGGTAAACCCTTGAGTCAGTAGCTCATTTGATTATCTTTACTCTGAACCTTTGTATTTTCTTTTGATTATGTCAACCTTTTGTAATTAGTTTCTTGATAATGTGATGTTGCTTTCAGAAGAAATTAATTTTAGGGATGGATTTCTGTTTAAGTGTATGCTATATATCATATGTGATGGGAATTAAGTTTGATGGTTTTCTTAATGTGATGGTGCTTTCAGAAGAAACTAATTTGAAATGTACAATTTGATGATTTTGAAGTGAACAATTTGATGGTGCTTTCTGAATTATTTTGAAGTGTACAATTTACTTTTCCTATTGTTATTATCCTCTATGCTAATGTTGTTGCAGTTTGAGCGTTTTGATGGTTTTACTCTTGCCTCGTCATGGGCAAGGTATGAAATTGCAATGTGGCACTGGCATGACACATGTAATTACACAGTCGATGAGAACGCTCCTTTGATATTAATATATTAGTTGCATGTGTTTTAGGTTCATATCTGAAATAGAGGCCGTGTGTCGACAATGGTTAACTGATGGTCCAAAGAATCTAATGGTATGCCCCATCCTAGTGTAATTGTTACTGTTAGAACTTAGAGCCGTTCTTTTCCTGCTACCTTGTTCCAATGTTCATATATTTGCGATATGGATGGTTTTCTGTTTAAGTGTATGCTATATATCATATGTGATGGGAATTAATTTGATGGTTTTGTCAATGTGATGGTGCTTTCAGAATAAATTAATTTTATTGCAGTATACCCTGGCAGTGTAATACGTTGGAAATTTGATCTGCATCATTAGTTAGTCATATCGGAACAAAATGAAATGGCAGAGTGAAGAATTCAATTCTTTCTTTTTTGTTATTTCTTTTTTTTTTTTCCAATCATTTTCCAATCCATCACTGCATAAGAGCCTTTTTGGATTAGTTGTTCACAGGTGCAATGATGTGCAATTGTCGCAGGTGAGATTAATAAAGATGTCGACTTGTTCACTTATATTATTGTTTAGCATGTTCAAACCATTTCTTAGAACTTATCTACANTTCTTCTCTCAAGCTTCCTTGCTGGAGGCTGGCAGGTTTCCTGCCATTTCGAGGAATCGAAGGTAATAAAAGTAACGTCTTATGACATTTTTTCTTCATTTAAGCAATGTCTACAGTGAAAAAGTTCAACTTTTCATAGTGTCCAAAGAGGTGTATTAACCTTTGTATATCTATTAGTTGGTGTACTAGAAAAATTTGGGTCATCCAAAGTGTCACTGTGAAGTAAGCTTTTGATTGACTCGTCACTCGTACGTGAATGCTGTTGCAGAATAAATCGGAAGAGGTTGAACCATATTTTCATGGTAGATGTATATATCTTGTTGGTGGGTACTCACTGAAACAACATATCGGTTATATATTGGTGTTCGAATTTTTTAACATTTTTTCTTGCTTTTTGTCCCTGTAATTTTGCAGGTATGATGGGATCGTGAAAAACAACCATTGGCAAGGTTTTGGCAGAAGCCCTTGGATATTCATTTTATGACTTGTTAGTCCCAAATATTCATTTTATGACCTGTTATGAGTAAGGTAAAAACCAAAAGATACGTCTAATTCACTTGCCGTAAACACTTGAATGCTTTTAATTTGTCTTGTCATTTGAATGTTTTGCTATGCTTTTCAAAGGATGCATATGAAAAAATTTAATCATTACATTTATCTTATTTTTCGTAAGTTACTAATTTTATTCGATTCTTTTCATATGTCGCCAGCAATCGGGAGGTGCTGAATGCGGGTATTTCGTTATGAGATATATGTTGGAATTCATCACACTCGATGTCACTAACAACTTTGATAAGGTAATTACTTTTTCTGCCTTCTATCGCATTCTTGAGGAGCCCCTTGCCTATTCCTCAACTCCTGTGTCTTCTTTGTTGTTTGAGCCAAGTCCCAAAGAGGATTCTTCCACTGGTAGATGAATCTCAGGGTGGTGGTGATTTAGTAGCAGTGGGCGGCAAGGTGGCTTACCTATTCCATTAGGAACCGTTTCAATAAAAATAATTTATAAATATCAAGCACTAGTATATTTTGAAGTAAATAATTTATTCTATTTTTTCGTCTTGATAATATGTTATAATTATTTTTTTTCAAATTTCAGGTGTTTAATTTGGACGAACCCTTCTCGAGTGATGATATTGATGATGTAAGGAGACGTGGGACTCAATATTTTCTCGATATAAGTGAAGTAGGATAAGATTAGACTTTTGTTACACGCTTCGTAGTTTATTGAACATGTGTGAAAATGTTTGTCACTTGGTAAACTATGTTGTTGGTGTGTTGGCATTGAAGTAATGTTAGATATTTTCTTTTGGTATTTGTTTGTTGATATTTCTTTTTTTATAACATGTGTTATATACGATTTAAAACATTGTGCATTGTAATGTCGGTTCAAAATTATAACGGGTTATTATTTACCCTTTATCAAATATATTGTTTTTATAACGATTATTTTGTAACCCGTTATAAATTATAGTGTAAACAAATCATATTTATAACGGGTTAATGAAAATACGTTATAAATATAGTATATTTTATAACGGGTGAATAAAGAACTGTTATAAAATAGTGTAGTCTATAACAGGTAAATGAGATATTTATAACGGGTCTTCGTTAACCCGTTATAAATGGCAGTGATTTTATAACGGGTCACAACCGTCATAGAAAGTCCATACTTTCTATAACGTCTGAAACTATAACATACTAAAAACCGTTATAAAAAGTCTTTTTTACCCGTTATAAAAACTGTTTTTTCTACTAGTGCACTCTGATTTGTTGTTAACTACATTGCAAAAAGAATTTCATCTACGGATTTGCCAATTTTTTCTCAGACAATAAATGTACGGGTTGTGTATGGGCTTTACTCAAATTAGAGACGTGATGAAGTCTCGCGTAAGAGAAGGCCAGGCGGCTGCTCGCCGGCCTAGTTGAGTTCTGTCTTGTGCCTACTCGAGAAAAAAGGTATGACTACCAAAAAATTATAATTACGAGCATTTCTTCAAATTTGAAGCGTCATTTGCCCGACTATATCTCGTTGTTCGTAGATGACAAATTACGAAAGGGTATGAAGGGAAGATGAAGTCGGGATCCATCTTAGAGAAGGTCGTGATTTTATTCCGATTCGAGACTATAAAAAGGTCCTAGCAAAACCAATGTAAAGACACCTAAGGGCCAGTTTACGAGCAACTTTCGTGAGTACGAATTAAGCATCTCGATTTTATAAGATGTGCAATACACCTGCTTTTCGAGAAATCGAGCAGGCTGCCGAGATTCCAAGTCCAGATCTAAAATGGTGCCTACAATCATTGGTCTATGTCTGTGTTTAGGCTAAGGGCTTGATTGGATATAAGCTAGTTTGAATTTGATTGGATTTATTGGATAAGGTGAGCTGATTTAAAAAGAAAAAAAAATGATTTAGTAGAATTTTGAGTTTGTATTTAAATAATATTTAAAATATAATGATTTCAGTTGAAATAATTTAACATTAATTGAGATGTGATTAGATGTAATATGTAATTAAAGTGATGTGAGCAGATTAATAATAAATTAATATCGATGTGATGTATGAGAATGATTTATTTATATTGATAATATAAAAAATGTTTGAATTGAGTTAAATCTGAATTAGATTTTGAATTAAAAAAAAAAAAAAAATATTTGATCAATCATAACCAGATATTTTATATACCAATTAGGCCTTAAAAAATGTTTTGCTTCTTGCTTCTTGCAAGGGATCCGAACTCAAAATTCATAGAGAGAAAAACCTACTTTCTTTTTTGAGACGGCCATTGTATTGAAACCAATCTAGAGTAGCATAGCCAAAGTCTAGTGCATGCAATAATCCCATGAAGGTAACTAAACTCAGAATCTCGATTCTGAGATGTTTATTGTCACATATTCGACTGTCACATTTAAAACATTCGAGTTCTTTAGAACATCAGTGAAAACAAAAAACCATGTCATAAATGCATTTGTTGCCTCCAAATACTTAACCAAAGTAAAAAAATTTCTAATTTACTTGACTCGACGAAGGCATGAGGATTCGATTTTGTATGTCTTGGAAGTTCTTCACATCTGAACCCCACAGCCTGCATATGTTGTATCCGTATATAAGAACAACCGTGAAAAAAAATAAATAAATAAATATACAAGACTGGTTTCTAATGCAATTCCAACACATTAGCTCGGATTATNCCAATTTTCCAACTTGAAATAGATTTGAAGAAAAGATTATCTAAAACCTTTTACCTAAAGCAGCTCGAAATATCTTCTCGTCTGGCTTCTCGTATCCGACTTCTGAAGATATAATGACGGCATCAAACCTAAAGCAAGATATAATGTAAAAGGTGAAAAAAAAACTCATGTTTAACCAGTCAAAGCCACAAACAATAAGCAAAAATTATAAGTTTGCTTTAAAATCAAGAAAACTAGGAAAAACTCACAGATCTAATATGTTAAGATCCCTCAGTAGCTTCCTCAAACGAGAGTCGAAATTCGACACAACAGCCAATCTAACTGCAGCGCAACATAAACAAAGGGATATATCACCAAATGCCTTAAACTAAATTAGATTAGTACTAATGCACAGAAATGTAGATACTTTGAAGACACCTCCATAATCTTTTAGGCATAACATTGTTTCACAAGCTCCTTCCGGAAGACGCCACGCATCACCATTTGCATAGTACTAACCGTTGAAAAAAAAAGGAAAAAAATAAAAGATCACAAAAATTAATATTGACCCGACAAATTACAAGCTTTGAATTTTAGCAAGAATGAGCATATTCTAGTCATAGTCACCTCATATACTTCTTCAAAGTAATTTGCATTGTGACAGCCGGTGGCTTCAGAGACAACTAATTTCCAAAACGGTCTACCATCACCCTGTTGAATTATATTTAAATCCAATTCTAATATATTTAAATCCAGTTTCAATATCTATATGAAGAAAATATAATGTGTCAAAACATATTAGCTGCAGTTATATATATACAGCTCGAATGCTCGAATGAACATATGTAAGAGGTCATTTCGATGAATTCTGAAGACACGAAGAAAATATAATGCGTCAAAACAAATTAGCTGCAGTTACATGTATATATATAGCTCGAATGCTCGAATGAACATATGTAAAGAGGCCATTTTGATGAATTCTGAAAAGCCCGGATCCGTTTTTCTCAAGTTTTTGAAACGAATGATTAAAATGGTGTTAAGATTTTCGAAACTCCTTACAAACCTTGTACCGGAGCTTTTCTGGCCAGGGAGCAGAGAAAACTCTCTTGAAACCTTGTTTTATGTCACCTGCTGTGGATTTAAGACCTGTTTACTGGCACCCACACAGCTAAAAATCAGGATTGAAGTCCAAATTCATAAGCTAAACAAACACCAGATACCATAATTTTGTAACCATAAACACAAATAAAACAGAAACAAAAGTTTTTTTATTTTTTATTTTTTTCTCAAGAATCCTCCTTGATACTGAATTGGAGCAGTAAATCAATAAACCAATAAAAAAAGTAAAAAAAATTGAAGCTTGAAGTGATGACCGTATTTTTGGCCGATGGCTAAATACGTTTCCTCAACTGGCTTCGCCAGCTGCAGAAGTGTGCCGCCGGCGTCTAACAACAACGCATCATATGCCCTTTTCCGGTTAGCAACTTCACCTGCATAAATCAGATGGAAACAATACATAGAAATTTTTGTGTTTTTGTGAAGAAATACGAGAAATCAGGATATGGGTTCTCATGGTGGGGTGAAACAATCGCCGCGTCACCGGCTGTGATTGGTCATTCGCGGCGGCGGGTTCTAGCAACGCGCGCACATGCATTTTCTCCGAAAAAAAAAAAGAACAAAAAATCCCCTTTTTTTTCTTGATGGTGATTTACCTGTGTGAATTGAAGAAATGGAAGATCGTGGTATGGTGATGGATTTTGGCAGCTTCGATTTGAAGGGTTTAACGGCTCTGAGGAGTGCTGAGGACTCCATTGATGTACACTCATACAGAAGGGTCACTACTATGATTAAATGAAAATTTGTTGGTTTTAGCGGTATTTATTAGTTTTGATTTTTCCTTATCAAAAAGGCTATCATCTTGAATTGATCCATTTTCAAATTTCGATTATTCTAGTTTCATCATGTGTGGATCTTAATCCCTTTTGTTTACAAATGTGTTCAGTCTTATATTTTGGGTAGTGTTTTTCAGTTGTGTTTTTATTATTACTTGTTCTATTTTGGGTTGTGTTTTAGTTTGAGATTTCCCTGAGCCCGAGATTTCAATTGTTGCCACTTTGAATGAGTGAAAAGCTTTCAATTTTTTATTTTTTATTTTTTCAGAATTAAGATTTAAGAGTAACCTGTAAGCAAAATACCCAAACCATATTTGATATAGTCACATTAAAAGTGCATCAAACCTTTGATTGTAAACTGCAAAGAACTCCAAACCATTTGATAATTCAATTTCTGTATAAATGAAACTCTCCAGATTTTCAAGACAATTCAATCCAAGTGCTATATAAGTTGCAAGAACTCATCTTTTCATTGCATTTATCGACAGAGGCTTTTGTTCTTCTTGCATCACACGTATCGAACCCTATCAAATATAAATCAAAATTACTTTTTGAGTAATGGGAATGTAAGTATGTAATAACCCCATCGTCTCTTAAAAGGATCATAAATCGCCAAAAGAAACTTTTTTATACGTCTGTTCTGTGATGAAATAGCTTCGTTATTGCTCTTCTCTCACAATCCTGAAAGAATAAGAAGATATTTGTTAGGAAAATGCAAACTTTTTTGGTGGGGTGTTCATAAATCGGATGATTAACTGACCTTGAACATATGTAGATAGAATTTTTTATCCGGGTTTATTCTCTTCAACTTCAAATATGTATACGCGAAGCTCAGCTGATCACGTGAAGTGAATCTATCGACCTCGTTGAACCAAAGGCACGAAAATAGGTTCGAATTTGCCGTATGAGCCCTGACAATAAACGAGCCTTCAGGTACAACTACGAGAAAACAGAAGCCAAAAAATTAATTTTTATATTGATTTTTATTTAAACAAAAAAAAAAAAAAAATGAAGCCACAAGTGTCACTCACAGCTCGGCAGACGATCTTTGGAGTCAGATGATTCGTACTTCGTGAGACCGTCAGACTGATAAAACCGAAACTGCTCGTCAATAGCCGAGTGATTGTACTTATTCAGACGCTTATTTTGGAGTACCTCTTCCCATACACAGTGCCGAGTATAATGATTCGAAATCGCATATTCTGAACGGGTTCGCCACAGAAAGTACTCGATTATCAGCATCGGGTCTGCATTTAGTCGCAATTTACTGTCGAGCCAAATAGAATACCTATCAATGGAAGAAAAAAATAAATAAAATTGAAGTTTTTCACTAACTTTTTCGACAAAAGTAAACAAAATTCAGTATTTGTTTCGAGTATATTACCTAGAAGAAGGGAAAAGGCGATGGGACAAAAATTTAGGCACTTTTCCGGTTTTTCGTAAATCTTTATATGGTAAGTTCTTCACAACAATTATCTTCCATAATCCAATATTTCCATTGTCATCTGGGGCATTTCCTTCAGCTGATAATTTTGCTAAACTTTGCTCATCGACAAACATAGCGAAACATACATTTTTCTTGGAGAATTCACTGATCTGTTAATCAGCAAGTGTTAAGTCAATATGAGAACTAAGAACAACAGAAAAATAGCTCATAGAATGCTTTGATAGCTTATTGAATTATAAATTTTTAGTTTAATACATTATCTTTATACAAAGGAAAAAAGAAGTGGAATATTTTTTGACATTGGCCAAATCTCCTCTTTTCCCTTTGAAAAGAAAAAGAAAAAACTATATAATGACTTCTTCTTCTTCTTCTTTTTTTCCATTTTTCAAGAATTCTCTCCCTTATTATTTGAGGTAAAACAGTAAAAATACAATAGAGACAGCAAAACTGTTCCGNAAAAAACATTTCGAAAGCAATAGCTCTTTATTACCACTTTGCTAGTCGGACGCCTCAAAAAATCCGAGCTTCCAAAGATGCACGATGACACAACTACCTTACACGTATTCATATATTCTCTATCCTTCTCATCCAAATCAAATCCACTGCTCGAAGCTACATTAGAATTGTTCACAAAACCACAATGAATTGTTTGATCTGTTGCGTGGTACGATTTTTCTCTATCCTCAAGTGTCTGATGTCCTCCAAAACGAACTTCTGTCATTTCATTTGGGTGGGTCCCATTTTCTCTTCTAACATATCCCAAGGAGAAATGTGCAAACTTAGTATTATCCTCAGGCTCAAGGATATAATTAACAGAATCAAGAAACGGTACCTCGCAAGGGAAAAAACCTGAAAAACGGAATTGAATTACGCCCAAACGAGTTTTGCATGGTTAGATTCAAGAAAGTACATTTTTTTTTTTACATATAAAATTACTAAGGAGCGAATTTGAGAGAAGCTTTTTACATGTGTTTGTTGTTTTGGCAGAGGAAAAGTAAGAAATCTTACGCTGCCTATGAGGCTTTCGTGGTTGCTGTGCTACACGACTCGAGTTAAATTTCTCTTTGAAATCTTGCAAAGATACAGTGCCTTCAAATGATTATACACAGGAAAAAAAACAAAAAAAAAAAGATATCAAATAATGCTGAGCAGATTGAAACTCAATATTGGCAGATAGAAGCAAACCACAATTCACAAATAAATTAAAACGACACGAAACTATTCAAAGGCAGATTTTCCTTTCAAAATTCTACTTAAATCATGCTATGATGTTTCCAACTTAAATCATAGTAGGATTTGGAAAGAAAAAAAAAAATAAAAAAAAATACATGGATAGATGTGGGCAATATCACTAAAGTTTATTTATTTACTAACTTTCAGACACACAATCATCACTGCAAAATTTAAAAATTGCAAAGGCAGAGTTCAATGCACTGAAGAAGTCCATACAAATATACAATATAACTCACCGTGAAAATGCATCTTTACTCCAAAATACCCAAAACATATCAAGAATGCCAAAGCAAGTGACAACAGACAAAACAACAATCTCTGAGTAGAAACTCGACCAAACCTCCTCGCCCGTCGAGGGGCCCACAAATGTTTCTCACTCATTTTTTGTACTTATTCACCACCACAGCTAATCGCTCTCCTTTCAGATGACAATACACTGTCTTTTACATAAGCCATCGAGAACCAGCTCATCTGCAAAAGATTTGAATAATTGTGGTTACATAATCTATCAAAATTTGAATATATATATATATATATATAGCAAGTAAGAATTAGGCCCCTAATGAGAAATTTCTGCACTTAAAACCAACTAAAATGGAGAAAGATCAATTTTTTAGGCTCCACCCACAAACCCCAAAAAAACAACTCTTTCTCTTTAAGGCCATTATCTGATTGAATTCGCACTAAAGTTCATCAAATTTTGTTCATTTAAAGCTGGATCCATCTTAAAAGGGAAAACATTAATTTTCATATAAATACTAAATTTTCATTGTAATCTTCAACTGGCAGCTAAACTAATCATCTTCACGCAATATAAACGAATCAAGAAAGGCAAAAAGGCAGAATAATCTGAAAACACACACACACACACGCGCGCGCGCGAAACGAAAAAGAAAAGAAGGCCTCATACAATGCAAAGAAAATACCTTTCGCAGATTACTGATACGCCTTATCAAAAATCAATCAACAGAACGGAAAAGAAGGGATTTTGCATTAATATTTCTCGAATTCACGTTCATGACGATCACTAAGCGAAGGAGCAAACAAATTTGATACGATAAATTTTGCTCTGCAGCCATAGAACATTGCTTATACAACAGAAATTTGAGGAAACCAATACTTTTTACCTCATTGGACCGACGATTTCAGGTGAAGGTAAAAGAGCCCATGGAAGAAAAACAGATCTGTCACTAAAACTTTTCGTGGAAGTTGCATTTTTGCCCCTTAAAGTAGCAATATTTATAGTTTACCACCACATATCTTACATCAAGGCATTTGATGATTTTTCCATGAAAAAGGAGAAAACTTTAAAGTTTTAGGTAAAGTACATACGTACATAAGTTGAATATGGGTGAGCTCGAACTTTAATCGAGTCAAGTCGTGAAACGATTCATTACCTAAACGAGTTCAATTCCACTCGTTTGTTAATATTAATTGCAAACTCTAAATTTAAAGAATAAAAAACTATAGTTTTCACGGGCTGAGTTATTAAAATTTATATGAGGCTTTGAGCTTTAACCAATCAAGTAGTACAAGGCTCAGTAATTCAACGAGCCTTAAAGTTGAGCTTGAATTTAATTAAGGGTAGTATTCATTTGAGATATCTACCTACTATTTAAGATTTTAGAAATAGAAATACTAATATATTTTACTTAGAGGGTGTATTGAAAAATTGAGTGATGTGAGACTTCGCTAAGATTTTTAACTTTATGAGAAATCTTGTGAAATCGTAAGATGTGTATTCGTTTGGAATTTTGAGTGACATTTTAGAATTTTTAGATTTGGGACTGTTTTGATACGTCATATTTTGACCACAATCGGGTTGAACACCTTTCACCTGGAACGAACTTCTTCCTTGAGCTCCCGATAACCTGCAATACGACGGGAGGAGGGCCTCCACGGAAAACTCTCCGACGCTCAAGTCAAAACTCGCTCAAAACCGTAAGTATAGAGTATATAGAATAGGCCTGGATTGTGTGTTATGTAAATTGAGAGAACCTGTCCTCCATATATAGGACTTGAAACACTTGAACCGAAGAGAGTTCTTGTTAGGGAAGAGATCCACTGAGATTCTACTCCTTAACTTACCACGTTTCTATCTTGGTAAGAGTTTTTGAACGAGTGATTCTTTCCTTCACACTTGGATTCTTCTCTACTTTACTGTTTTAGTCTGGGGATACTTAGGTCTGAACCCGACCTCCCATCCTGTTTGTTATGACCCTTCTAAGGACGTCTTTGACCAGATCCTAAGGTCTAACCAACCTCCCTTTTAGGTTCGACTTCTCCTAAGGCCATCCGACCTTGATGTACATCGAAGTCAGCTACTTTGTCGGGCTCCTGGAGACTGGTACCTCTAGGTCGGGTTGGCTCTGCAAGCTCGGCACCTTAAACTCGTGTCCAAGCTACTTGGCCGAGTAACTTTCCTCTTATTTCACGAGATTTCTCCTTGCTTGGCCATAGTCGAGCTACTGTCTTAGACTGATGTGCCGAGCTATTTCTAGGTGCTATATCATGTCTAAAATTTTCAGATTAGGAGGAATCATCTAAAATCTTAAATTTGGAGGTGAGATTTAGAGTGAGATTTTATATATATTTTTCTTTTGAAAATCTAATAAATCATAAAAAGTCTTAACAAATCATAGTTTCAAATAGGTTATATACTATTTGTCATATTTTCGTTGCTA